ATTATAAGTAGGTATATTTATATTTAGCATATGTACATAGAGTTTAATGGTGAATGAAAAAAGAATAATCATATTTTTAAAAATTTGTAGTTGAATTTAACTGTATTTCTAAATATAGAGCTATATTTTCTGTCTTTATGACTAAAAAGAAATAATGGGCAAAACCTGTCATGTGTTCTATGAGTAAAGAAAACTGCATGAAAATTTGTTACATGCTTAACTCGTGCTAATTTGGCTCTTGTGGGAGAGCATAATAGTTTAACTTTGTTATGAAGAGCACTCCATTGTGCATAAGGATAGAGGCAGGAAGATTTCATGAAGCTCTGCTGATTTCACAGAGTAGTGCTAATGCTTAGGAGGTGTGCTATTTTTAGCCTTGTTGCCAGGCAGATCTTTTCCTGCTTCCTGCTGATTCTCAGCCTCTAGTATTGCTGGGCTTGTACAAACCAGTCTTTAGTTGCCAACCAATGGAATTGCAGTAATATTCAGTAATTTGTCTGACATCAAGACTTGTTATATCTTGTTTATGTATAGTTTCTCTTATTAGGTTTGCTGATAATATGGCAGCATGGCTTCAGGGGCTCTTGTTAGGACATGTTTTTATATAATCAGAAAAGATATTGTCATTTTAAAATGGCAGTTAAATGCCAAAAGGTAAATCTGTAGGTTAATTGGGTCCATGATGAGGGGAGGTAAATCTGTACTGTAACCAAATTTTGATTTGTGAAGTTTTCCAAAATCGAACTGTAACTATTTGATCCACATTTATTATTTTGTACAGTACTTGGTATAAGCCAGTATTGTTTGTGGTTGTGCACATACTGATGTATTTCATTTCTGTCAATGAAATCTTCTCAAAAAATGGTCAACATTTTTTGGAAAATCAGTAGAAACAATTTAAGTTTAAAGATTGCTTTCTGGGGGTTTATAAATGCTACTTTTAAATACTGAAATTTTGAATTTTGTTGTATTTCTATGTAATTTCCCTTGTGTTTCCAGAGGGTGACACTTGGTGGCATAAAAAGGTAAGATACCAAATCTAATTGTAAAGTTACACATAAGATCAGCCGAAATGTAAATATGCATAGTTTTGTATTTTGCTTTTGGTAGTCTTATTGTCCCCCTAGTTAAAAACAAATGCTATATAACTTTTGGTATCGAATATTTATTTGCTGCTTTAAAATAGGTTTCTTAATGGAGGCACAGTAAGAGGCCATTGTCAAATTTTCCTGTTTGGAAATTTGGAACAAGTTTTGAGAGATGTCTAAATCATTCACAAGAAATCTATTTCTTTTGGCTTCATTCATGAGAGAGGTTGCATGTAGTCATTTATCATTTTAGGAAATTGTATTACAAATTTAAGAGCTCATGCTTTGATTACTATACTAACACATGTTCCCATAATGTTACCCTGAAGGCTATTTATCATTTTTATAAAACTAAAGGAATGCTTCTGCGACCAAGCAAATATCCTGCTGATATGGTGATTTATTTAAAATCCAAATATGGGAAATACAAACTATAGGAAATAACGCAAAGATGGTTAGCAAAATAAAAATATGTTGCAAAAGTATTTGAAAGAATATGCCAATAATAACAATAGCAATAAACCACAATTGATTAATATAGCACAGTTGATTTGCATAGGCTTTATAGTAGCTTCTAATTGTATATTAGCGCTTTAGCAATTATCTAAACGATTTTATGGTTTTATGGTAGTTGCTTGGAAACTAATACAGAATGCATTTATTTTTGTGTTGTTTGAAGGAAATGCATACTATTTGAAATAAAAAAATTCGGAACTAGGTTAAATTCTCAATTTTATAACCTGTTATATGGAAATTTCAACAATTTCCAATCTTACTGCTACAGTTACCCTTAACATTATATATTGAAGAAGGATATTTCAAAATATTGCAAAAGATTGTACATTTTATAAATATTCAGCAATTTTATTTTTTTCAGGCCATTCTAAATGTTCAGTTTTATTTGATTTTCTTGTTGCTGGGCAGAACTGAGATTTCATGATTTTAACTGGTGGGTCAGGATTAGCATTCTCGAGCCAATAGGATAAGATAAAACTTTCACAGGAAACGGCTTGGTAACAACAAAGCACAGCTGCCAATTTTTTCCTGTCACAGAAATATGTGAGTACAGCTAACTCCCTCTTGAGTATGCTTCTGATACTGCAGGAGTTCAAGAAATAGAAGGAATACTAATGCTGTTCTTACCTACCATTATTCCTCCTGATTTATGCTCAACCTAAGTGGCAACCATTATACAAACTAATTCTTGAAGCCTTATTCAGGACTTGTAGTTCTTATTTTTTTTCTTAATAAAAATGGGGAACTATAATGTAAGCACTACCTTTTAATACAGATATACAGTAATTCAGCTTGTGTGGAAGATAATGTAATTTTTTTAAAGTGTATAATTTTTGTTAATTTGCTGAGGGCATAAATTAGCAGATATTTATTAAGAAACTTGAGCACTCCAGCAAATACTTTAAAGAAAGAAGAAATGTAATTTTAACCAAAAGTAACATTATGAAAATGTATGAAAATTGCCTGTTATTTCAAAACATCCATGTGTATTCTTGACATAGCAAAGTAGAATTCATTCTACAAGTATGCATTTGCATTTTGACAGACCGTTGAGCAATGTCTGACCCTGTTTTAGAACAGGAGTCTATAGTCCATCTAGAACATGGTACTAATACCGAGGATTTCCTAATTAACTTGCAGGCAACACTTATGCAAAACTGCTTAATAGTGAACATTATTTGTTTGTATAATTTTTTTTCGAAACTGGGTTATGTTTGCTGGAGAAACACTTTGCTTTTGAAAATGTAATAGAAATGTCCTGGAATGCTTGTAACACGTATGGAACTGTCCTGAGTCTCATACAGTATATTGTCTTTTTGTGATCTCTGTCTCCTCTCTTGCCATGTAAAATACATTTGAGCTGGAAAGTAATTGGGTAACGTTTTAAACTACTAATATTACTTCATGAGTGTGGATTAATTCATAGCAGCTATTCTAATACCTAACTTTGTTGACATGTAGAAATGAACTTGCTTTTCAAAAAAAATATTAAGAAAGAGAAGGAGAAGTTCCTAATTATGAAGGCAAGGACACTTTGGAGCATCACTTAGAAACTACACACACTGAAAACTACATCAGTATTGACAGAACTTTTCATCAAGTAAAAGTGACAGTGATTTAAATAATTTCTTCTGGTAGATGGCATAAATGTTTAATGTTTATGAAATGAATTGTACTATGCATAGGCAAATATTGTATATAAGCTTTTGCAAAAGTAAGCAAGATTTACTGTATTTTTTGATGTATAAGTTCCACTCTCCCCCAAAAGTGGGTTGAAATATCTATGCGTCTTATAGAGTGAATGTTGCCAAAGCCCCACCTACCCGCCATCCCCCACCCTTTGGCGTTTGCCTCTCAGCAACTTGCCTCCTTACAGCAAACATCCTGGTCAGTTTTAGCACTGCCTGCTTTAGCCCAAGCAGCTGATTGGTGGTTGGATCTGCCTCCTAGAATAACGCCTATCAGCTGTTCCAGGCTGCAGGAATCACTGCCGCTGCCACCTATCAGCATATCCTATTTTTGGCTTCCGCATCCCCCATTTTCGGTCTGTTCCAGGCGCCATGATGGTGGCGATGGGTGGCAGCAATCCCTGCAGCCTGGAACAGATGATAGGCGGTATTCCTAGAGGCAGATCTAAACACCAATCAGCTGCTATGCTAAATCAGGCAGTGCTGAAGCTGACCAGACTGTTTGCTGCAAGGGCGCAAATTGCTGGGAGGCAGATTTTTTTCCCCTTGTGCTAATCAGGCTAAACTGAAACTGAAACAGGCTGTTTGCTGTTTGCTGCAAGGGCGCAAATTGCTGGGAGGCAGAGGCAGGTTTTTTTTTCTTGCCAAAAGCTAGGTGCATCTTATAGACCAGAGGGTCTTCTAGTCTGAAAAATACGGCACTTGCATAGTCCTATCTCCTAATTTGTCATATGGTTCTGAACTGTAGAACTTTAAAACGCAAAAATAAGGCTGTTGAATTTCAGAAATTGTTTCTTCTTGGTAAGACATATCTCTTAATATTTGTGGATGTTAATACTGAAAAGATTACCAGTTAGACATTGCTACTGGAGAAGGCACAGGTAGATCTCATTTAACAGCTGCCCTTTTTAACAACTATTTGAAGTTATGACAACACTGAGAAAGTAACTTTACAATCAGTCACATTTATTACCACACAATCATGTGGTGCCATTTGCATATTTTCACAGCTTCCAACAAGCAGAATCCATGGAGAATCTGGCAGTAAAATCACAAATCAGTTAAGCACCAATGGGTAATTTGCTTAACAATTGTAGCCGAAGTTAAGTTTTAAATCCATCGCAATCACGTGATGTCTCACTTAACTGCATTGCTTATCTACAGAGTTGCTGACCCTAATTGTGGTCGTTAAGTAAGGATTACCTGTAATCTCTACCAGCCGAGGTGGCGCAGTGGTTAGGGTGCAGTACTGCAGCCACTTCAGCTGACTGCTAGTTCGGCGGTTCAAATCTCACCGGCTCAGGGTTGACTCAGCCTTCCATCCTTCTGAGGTGGGTAAAATGAGGACCCAGATTGTAGGGGCAATATGCTGACTCTGTAAACCGCTTAGAGAGGGCTGAAAGCCCTATGAAGCGGTATATAAGTCTAACTGCTATTGCTATTGCTATTTTTACAGACTTGCTATCTCAATTGAACTAGAAAGATGACAATTTATGTAATGATATTTCAGTATGGTGCCATCTATCTTCATGATCAAATTTTAATAACTTCCTGAAGTAGAGATTCTGTGCCACAAAAGTTCCAGTGACAGTCATTGTTAAATCATCTCCCCAATGATTTTGAAAAAAAAAAACCTGTTGTACTTAATGTTAGATTTTTACTGATGGATTTTCCTTGTTTTTCTTTTTTATCCTAAACTACTTTTAAGCATCAAGATGGAAAACAGTGAAGAACCTCAAAAAAAAGTTTTTAAGGCCCGTAAAACCATGCGAGCAAGTGACAGACAACAGCTTGAAAGTGTATATAAAGTAAAAGAAGATTTTTTGAAAACTGCTGACCTGAAACTGTTAAATGGAAAACATGAAAATGGGGATTCAGATATCAGTTCTCCTTTATTAAATTCTGACTGCATTGAGGGAAGTGAGGTGAATGGCCTAGAAGATGTATGTCTTGATCCTGAAGACAATAAAGTAGAATCTGATGAAATCACTGATGTCAAAAGTCCAGATAACAAGGATAACCAGCATGATGACTTAACAACAAAATTTGAAGCTCTATCTCCTGAAAACATTGTTTCTGAGCAACATCATGAAAATAGTAGCCCACCTTTGAGTCCTGGATCTGAAAGTCAAGTACTTGAATGTAATAAAGATAGTGACATCCGGGAACAGATCACTATAAAAGAGGACCTGAATTATAAAGATCTTTGTGTACCTGATAATTTGGATCAGAAATCCTCATCAAGTCATACTGAAGAAGAAAGTAACATTAATGACCAAATGGTAGAACCAGCAGAAACAAATGAGTTGGCTATTACTCCTGAACTGTCTATGGAGGAAAAAAATAATGCAGACGAAACTGTTGTAAAAGAGGATGTTGATGAGGAAGCAATATCTAGTAGTTTGAATACAGCTGAAGGTTCAAAGAATGAAATCAAATCTGCAGAAGTTGTAGAGACTATGGCTCAAAAAACTGTTGAAGAACCACCAACTGAGAATATGTTGGGAAGTGCAGCTAGAATGGAAACAGATGAAATTATTCCAATTTTAGAAAAGCTGGCCCCAGCAAATGCATTAAATTGTTTCTCTCAACCCACCTTGCTTCCTGTAGAGACTCCTAGCTTATGTTCAGAAGAAAAGGTAGCAAATTCTTTAAATTCTCCATCTAAACATGAAAGCAATGAAAGTTTGCCCAAAGAAGCTTTCTTGGTTCTTTCTGATGAAGAAGAAGTTTGTTGTGAAAAAGAAGCTGTAGTATTAATGCCAAAACATGAAAATCCTCCAGGTGAGTGGCATATTTTTTCTTCTTCTCCATTTTAAATTATCGTTTGAAACAACTCAATTTTGGAACTTAAATGCAGGAAAATAATTGCCTTATCTGTGAAATAATAAATTAGTTACATTAAATGTAGAACAAACATTAATTATTGCCAATGTTTCAAAGTCACAATAACAACATCATTTTGCTGTTTAAAAATTAAAACATAAGAATAATACTGTACAATAACCATACAATAGTACTCAATCCTTCAAAATCTACTTTTCAGTAATAACAACCATCAAACAGCAACATCTGCCTATCCCAGATCCTTGGGAAGGACTCAATAGGTGGGTAAAGATACCCAATCGATGGTAAACATCTTGCTGACTGTGCGACCAACCGTAATTTTAAAAATTCATGTGCCACCCAACTCCCAGCAATCCTAGAATACCAAATCAAATCAAATAAACCATATCTACAGAAAATGCAGCAAAAATTATACTAGAGGCACTTGACTCATGCTGTTGATACCTACTTATGGTGACTGAATTTTATTTTTACATTTACAGTACTATATTCAGACTAGATTTAATGTTGTTGCTGTGTATAAGATCAAACTGCATTAGTAGGATATTTGAATCAGTTGATATTAACTGCTCAATTTCTACTTGTTTTTCTACTTTGCTTATCAATCTGTTTTGATATTAAAATTTGATTCTCAGTGTTGATTCTCAGCAGTAATATGTTTGTAATAAAAATTACTAATGTTTGATATTCAAAAATGGTTTTTTTTTGTGAGTTGGAAAGTACCTTAAAAATTTCAGGGTTGAAGTGTTCCTCAAAAAAACCTTTGTTATGCTGGTATCATTTATAAGCATTAAATTCTGTTGAGAAGGATTGAATTCTGATGAAAATTTTGTCAAAAATAATACAGCATCATCTTCTGGACGTATCTGATTAAATAATACTCAAACCACTACAGAATAATTTCCAAAATTCTTCAAGGTAACAGAAAAGAATTAGTTGATCAGTATTTCAAATATGTCTGAGATACTTAAAAAAACCATTGTTTGTGTAATTCTAATCTAAATAAAAAATGCTCAAATTGTTAATTCTATTTCACTTAAAATTTACCTGTGCCTTTGACCCTATTTAAGATGTGCATTGTATTATTTAAAATTTAAATAAAATTTGATTTAAATTTAAATTATGGAACAATAGAATAAATAAATAAATATTAAACCTTAACTCTAAAAAGCCATACTAGATTTTAAAAAAATTGCGGCCCAAAATGTAAATGAAAATACATTTTTAAATCAAAATTTTACTTTAATAATGCTGGTCATTGCTTCTTTAAATATTGTTTCCTATTAAGAATATTATCAATTTGAATAATTTATCTGTTTTTTAGATGTAAGTTTCTTAGAGCAGCTACATGGCACATACACCCTTTCTGACACCTATGTGGAGATTGCAGCAGATATTTTTTCTTTTTGCCCTAAGGGAGAAACATTTGCCACTATCTAGGATTGAGCTCTCAACCTTCCAAGTGGGAGATGAGTCTCTTCACCACTAGGCCACCATGCTGCTCCCACTGCTTCATATTCTATTTATTCAACCTATATGTGGAATACATATTGAAGGAAGTTGAATTACAAAATAATTAGGAGTTTAAAATTGGAAGACGAAATATCACCATACTATGCTAATAACAGTATCTTGATAGCTATGTTTTGATAGAAAGTTCAAAACATTCTTAAAGATCCATCTCATCCTAGGCACCCTTTTTTGAACTATTACCATCTGGCAGACGGTACAGAATAATAAAAAGTACAAATAGGCTGAAAAACAGTTTCTATCCCAGGGCAGTAATTATATTGAATTCTACACTATAGTGCAATAGTAATGTAATATCGGGTTTTCAATTTAAATTATATAGCAAATGAAGGATGTGTGTTTCTGGTTTTTTTATAGTTATAATGTACACTGAAGATGGTATTTAATTTCATTGTACGATGTGCAATGACAATAAACTAAACTAAATAGAAATGGAACTCTAGTTATGAAAGTGAAAAGAGCAGAATGAAAAAAACGGGGCTCCATATCTCCATGTAGAGCAAGTTACAATAGTCCAATCAGGAGATCACCAAGCCATGAGCCTCCCTGTCCAGGAAAGAGTGTAACTGATGCACAATGTGGAGTTTGGCAAAGGTACTCCTTGTCCCAGCTGCCACCTGCTCTTCGAGCAGGTTCTGTGAGGCCCCCCAAGTTATACATCAGGTCTGTAAGCAGTAGTGCAACCACATCCATGTCCCAGGATGAAAGCAGGATACAAGAGCGCCATCCATAGTCACTCCATCTTAACAGGGTTCAGTTGAAGTCTGTTACTCGCCATTCAGACCCCCATATCCTCCAGGCACTGCGAAAGGACAATTAGTGCACCACTCACTTCACCTAGGACAGAGATATGTATCCTGACATCACCAACATATTGGTGATACCTCAGCCTATTGTGATGGATGATCTCACCCAGCGGTTTCATCTAGCTGTTAAAAAGGAACGGACAAAACACGGAGCCCTGCTGCACCCCACAAAGGAGGGGCCATGAACTGGATCTCTCATTTTCTATTAACACCAATTGGAATTGGCCTCTGAAGAAAGAGGTGAACTAGCACACACACACACCCCAAGATCACCCCCAAAGGATGCCATATTCAATCAAGGAGAACAAAGATGCATGCACAACCTCCCTCCCATTACTACCAGATATTATCCATGAGTGAAACCAATGCAGTTTCAGAGCCATATCAGGGCCTGACATCTGATTGAAAAGAGTCCAGATAATGCTTTTTCTCTACTCTGAGGTCCCATCATCACCTCAACCAATTTTCCTAAAAAAACAAAGTTGAAGATTACACAAAAATTGTCCAGCACGGTAGAGTCCAGCGATGGCTTCTTGATTTAGGGGGCACAGCAGTGACTCTTTAAAAGAGGTCGGAAACATTCCTTCCAGCAAGGATGAAGTCACCATTGCTTGGACCCATCCACATGGGGTCCCACTGGGTAGCGTTAACCAGCTGGAAGGGGCATGGATCTAATATGCAGGTGGTGATGATTGCACCCTACAGGACTTGAGCCACTCTTGGTTTCATAAGAGCAATCCTGTCTAGGGCTGCAGCAGACTCCCTACTCTAGGCAACCAGTAGGACCTCAGCAGGACCAAGTAGCAGCAGGTATTTCTCTCAGCTCCCTTTGAAATCCATTTGGGACCATCAATTGCCGGGTGTAGACTAATGGGTTCACTGGGTTAGAATTGGTTCAGCCTCCCTGCGGAGGGAAATAGTGCAAGAGAACCACACTAACAGGATGTGATCTGACCATGAGAGAGGGGTTAAAGAAAACTCTTCCCTTGCATTTCATTGCCACTGCTCTGACAAGAAAACCAAGTCCTGGATGAGATCACCGTCCTGAGTCAGGCTAAGAATAACCTGGGAGAAGCCGAGGCTGTCATGGAGACCATGAACTCCTGAGCCACTTTGGAGGTCTATCTCGGAATGGCAAATTGAGGTCCCCTAGAATCATAAAGTGTGCGATGAGAGGTGGCAATGGTCCAGTGATTAAGATGCTGGGCTTGTTGGCTGGAAAGATGTCAGCCAGGTTCAAGAACCAAGCACCACGCAATGGGATGAGCTCCCATTACTTACCCCAGCTCCTGTCACTTAGCAGTTCAAAAGCATGTGAATGTAAATGGAAAATAGACACCACTTCAGTGAGAAGGTAATAGCATTCTGTATACCTCAGCATATAGGCATGCTGGCCATATTACCATAAAAGTGTCTTCAGATAATAGTGACTCCCTCAGCTAAGAAAAGAAGATGAGTACTACTCCCTAGAATCAAATACAACTGGATAGGGAAACTTTTACTTTGTATCATAAGTCTGGGGAATTCTACAGACCGCCCTGAAATAGTCTCCAGCAGCTCAGGCAGGAAGTTGCTGGGTAGCAGGGAAGCTGGTACCATAGCAACAATCCTACTTGCTCCTGTGAACTAACTTCAGGAAAACCCATTACAACAATCCCAATTGCACCCATGAAGTAACTTCAGGAACAGAATCTTGCAACTGACAACTTGTGCAACATTAGCAGTTTCTGTATAGCATTTGTTTTGTTGCATGGATCTTGGCTGGAGTCACTAAACCATATCAGTGAAGTGAGCGTTTTCAACTTTACATGAATGAGAATTGAAAACATAGCATTTTGTTTTGTCAGTAACTTCTTATTGCAGCATACTTATTTGTGTTACAAAGTCATCCAAATCTGTTCCTGAATCATCAAGCTTCTTTTTAAAATTATAGACATAACTGCCAGAGACAAAAGGACCTGAAATCATTGGTAACCTCACATTGCAAAAAACAAGGACATGTGTTCAATTTCATAGCTACTAAAATTGTTGGCTGAGCAGGACAAAAATAGCCAGGGAAATGACTGAAGCCTGAAAAATAGATCCCTTGTCAGTCAACAGGAGTACAGATTTACCACCCGCTTATTCATTACTTAGGAGCCAAGGGCACAGCAGCAAAAGGAAACAACCAACCAACCATCAACACCCAAATTAACAACTAAAAGCCACACACAACCAGACACCACATAAATACTATACAAAGTGCACATATTCTGGAGAAAAAGTAGTTCCCTGAGGATGGGCTCCAGCACAAGTCTGAAAGCTTGAAAGGCTAAACCTCTGGTCCTGGTGACCAACTCATATTGGATCTTGCATACAGCAGACAATTGCACTGAGGATGACAATGAAGATCGTATATAGGTGTATCTGCCTAAACAAATAAGTTCTATTCGGTTAGAATTATGCACACACTAATAAGAAATGGAACTGCTAAGCAATTTTGCCTATTTTGCTTAGCTTCATTAATTATAATGTAATGCCATCTGTGTTTTCTTCAAACATGAGAATTATATCCTGATAAACCCATCTGAAAGTTGTATCTATAAAAGATGGCTTTTAAAG